CCTTAAATTATTTAGTTATGCGAATACCTGGTACCTTATCCATGGTGTGAATGTAGTGGTTTACCATTGACGTCAAACCCCGTAAGATATTTTTAAAAATAACTTTCTTGGGCTCTTTCCATTGTGCAAAAGGTTCGGTTATTTGCTAAATTTAGAATCTATATTTAGTCCCGCGCATAAAAATATCTTATGGAAGAATTTTATCTGGTTGTAAACTTGATAAACTTTAAAAATATACGCATGTGAAATGAAATCGTACACGAATGGATAACGTCACAGTCTTTTTTAAAATATCTGCTGGTTTATGTAAGTGTAAGTTTGTATCTAATTCTATTATTTTATACAAATAATCAATTTCATACAAAAATATTTTAAATGTAAAAGTGGATGACTCGTACACCTAAGTCTACTGAACGTTCTGACTCCAACTTGACATTTATAGAAATAGCTATAATGATGTTACATATATATATTTTTTTATAACAGAAGTGTATTTATAGAAGCAACCATAAAACACGTGAAATCAATGGTAGCTTGCAAACTTTTTGTTTCTATGTAATAACAAATATCACGGAACATGAGACATTTGATAGTTTTATGTATGTGTATGTATGTATTTATTTATACTGAAGTAGCCAAAACAAATATTTGCGCAGTCTAGATAATATTAGGTGTAAAGTATTGCTGCAAATCAATATTAGTAATCCAAGTTTGAAACTGATTTTTATAAACTACGTTAGAAGACTTTCATTTTATATATTTTACTAATTAATAAGTATTATTTTAATAAAACCACAGAGATTAACTTTTGAATAGACAAGGTTCTTATATAGTGAATCAACAGATATATAACTTAACCTAGGGAACTGGTCCCAAAAACCTGGAGGGTAAAAAAATAGACTCACGGATGAGTAGTATAAGGGCCAGGGGGCTGAGAGGATATTAAAAAGAGTCACTTAAGGGGCCAGTAGAATACCACCGCAAGGTCCTGTCTTGCACATTATGAACTGGTCCCATTTCGAGGCAGACTTGGGACATGAACATGTATCCATCAGTACCTACTTATAAAATGAATTATTTGTACAGGTCACTTGTTTTTGGCGTGAAATAAAGTTTTTTTAAACGCTTGCTGACAGCCTTTTACTGCGAATGAAGTGAAATGAAATGAATGAAAAGTAAAATGAAATGAAATGAACGGTGTTGGCGGACATGCCCAAACCGAATGGGTCGCCAACTCACCATAAAGCTAGGGACAATGAGCACCCAACCCAACACTTATTTTCAGTATGTATTCTTATTTTCTGCATAATAAAGTCACGTTATAGGTAACTTATATGCTACTGTGACTTATAACTTATAAAGTAACTACTGCTTATTGATACCTTTACAAATGTCGCCATTAATCACTATTAACGACGTCGTAACCATAAGGTAAAGATGAAGGTCCAAGTTCAAATCTATTTTATAATGTAGGAAGAAAAATGTGTTGGCAATCTATTAATACCACGTTTTATTATTTTTATATCTACTTTGTAGAGTGTATTAGCATTTAAATTGGAACGTGTCTATGTAGTTATGTCACTACACTATTGATGTTATTGGTACTTCCAATTGACTACTTCAAACTAAATTATCATCTATAGTCAGAATTTTAATTAGATTCCAGATTTGACAATAGCTACTGTCATTTTGTGAAATAATGATACCACATATAATAGTGTAGTGATGCACACAAAAATCGATAAACAATCAGTGTGTGTGTTTTATAATAAATGTTACAGAAAGTGACAGGATAGCGATAGCGATGACGGCGACAATTTATAAAATAACTTATTACCATAATATATCTATCTGTTTTATTTGTCATGTTCCTTCATGATTACATTTTTTTATTTATTTCACACACAATTATAAAAGAAACGTCTCAGATCGTTAATTAATCGTCAACACTAAATTATCGGTTCAGAAATATTTAATTTCCTGATATACTTAGTTCACGAGAGTAAAATTATAAATGTTATAAACGAGAAGAATCGATCCAGAAATATTGCATTTCTATATCGAATAATTTCGCAACGTCACTATTTAGTACTTGTCATAACGTTGCCACACTGAAATTGTCAAATCTGGAATCGAATTAAAATTCCGAGTATAGTTATCAATTTCTAAATTTTCTGTTATTGTATAAAATCTAGAAGTGCCTCCATGTACTGCAATAAACTTAGCCTTTATTACCAGGGGCTTACTCTTGAATACAATTCCGATCGATCGACATTGTTGTTGTTAAACGTATTCTTGAGTCGCAACACTAGCGCCCATTGCATCCGTATTGCGTGGATAATTAATGAACTGAATGGTATTGAGTTTTTTTTTAATTACATTTTTTTCTGGAGTAGAAGACAAACGAGCACACGGATCACCTGATGGTATGCGATCAGCGCCGCCAATGGACACCCGCAACACCACAAGTGCGTTACCGGCCTTTTGGGATTAGGAATTTGAGGATTGTTGGGGATTCAGGGATCGGAGAAGAGGGGGGGGGGAGGTAATTGGGCCTCCGGAATGTAGAAGAACACAGAGCATATGGGGTACTTTTTATTTCATTAATACGGTTGCAGCTACTGGTAGATTTGAACTAGTTAAACACATACCATTCGTACATATGATTTAAGTTTGCAATCGTTTTATATATTTTGAGGATAAGTCTACTAATACCTAGTAGTTTTTGTTTCATGGGATTTTTACATTGAACATTGACTTGACTTGGTATAAAAACTGACAGATTATATAATTATAAATCAATGTGCGTCAGATTTAGAAAAAAATCTCTTTGTTGAATCTATTTAAACTTATAAATAATGTCGTGGTGGTCCAAAAGGTTAACACGGGCGTCTTAACCTCTCCCTCTCCTCCTCCTCTTATCCTCTCCTTTCCTTCTCATGCATGAGAGTGTGGGTTCGGATCCTACCAATGATAAGTACCAGTGTGGCTTTTTACGAGTTATATGTAAGATTCTTTCTAAGATTGTCTAGACATCACTGACAAACGGTGCAGGAAGACATCGTAAGGAAACCTGGGCTTATAATTTCTAATCATAAGTTTGAAATTTGCCAACCCGCATTGAGCTAGCGTGGTGATTAATACTCAAACCTTCTCTGTGTATGAAGAGTTGTTGATGTCTGTATGTAAACTTATAAATAGCTACTAAATGATAACCTGTAGTTTTAAGTTCAATCTATCTTTTCTAAATAGATTATTATTTTTTCACTAGCTTTTACCCGCGACTTCGCTCGCGTCACAAAAGGATAAAAAGCCAATGTGACATATACCAATACACACAGCGCCATCTATACCAATACTTTTGTTTTCCCTCGGGAATATCAATTTTTTCCGGGATAAAAAGTACCCTATTATTTAATCCGGACTTCTAACTATACATCTGCAAAAATTCATAGCAATCGGTTTAGTAATTATGGCGTGATAGTGGAACAAACAAACAAACTCACTTTCCGATTTATATTATTAGTAAGGATACCCCGTTATCATCCCTATTACAACCGACTTAGTCCGTAGATACTAGATAGGGGCTTACTAGAAATCTATAGTTTTTGACTACCCCATGGGACAAAGATATGAGTTAAGTATATGAGTAACAAAGTGAAGCTTCATGATACTGATACTAATTTGTTTTTAAATTATTATTTAATAGTTCAACATTTTAAATGAATAAATGTTATTATGTATTCAGTATTTGCTCTAATTACGTTAAAGGCCATTCTTCAAGTTCGAGAGGCTTGTCGAAGTTGAATATGTAAGATTTAAAATAGTTAATTTATTTATATACATGACGCATTATTTTCAAATAATGTGTTGATTAGTTATTTGTAAAACGGTAAGGGTACTTTCATTTATTTTTTCACGATCTCTTCAGTTTAAGAACTAGCTTTAACCTTCGTTTTGTGGATACAAATGACCTCTTGACAATAATTTTCACGTGTCCAGTTGCTCCCAGATCCTTCGATGAAATATAAAAACTATAGTTAATCAAATAAAGTACAAATCATCATCCATTCAGCTGATCTGACGTTACGACTTTTTTCGTATTAATAGATAGATTAATTACATTTTTTACATTGGTATTGAAACCTTCCAGTACTAATTGTAATGTAAAAACCTTCTATTAAATACAAAAAAATCGTTTCAGTAAAAAATATGAAAAGTGACGTCATAATACACACCATTGGGGCATGATAGTTACTCACAGGTATTATTTCACTTACCATCATTTTAATTACTATGCTAAGGTATGGGGAAATCGTAGTTAAGAAGAAAAAACAACAAAACAAGTATGTAACAATTATATTTGTAACAAAAACAACGAACATGATACAGACATGGCCTCGCTACGGTAATGTGGACGTAATATTATGTGTTATGGCAATACTAACTAACGGACGATCACAATAAACTGTCTGTCGATACATTTTTGTACGGAAGAAGAAATAATTTTCAGTATTTCGATTTTAAATCGAAGTGCTCTGTGACATTTAGATCGAGCGAGTATTCATTACTTTTATTTTAATTACATAAGCCGGTAAACGAGCAGAGGGGTGGTAAGCAATCGGCGCCGCCCATGGACGCCCGAAATACCAAGGCGTTACAAGTGCGTTACCGGCCTTTTGAGAATTGGGAATTTGAGGATTGTGGAGGATTTGGGGATTCAGGAGACTAGGGACACCAGGGAGGGGGCTAATTGGGCCTCCGGTAACCTCACTCGTACGACGAAACACAATGCTAGCGTTGTTTCACGTCGGTTTTCTGTGAGGCCGTGGTATCACTCCGGTCGAGCCGAACCATTCGTGCCGAAGCATGGCTCTCCCACACTTAAGGAGGTTGCGAAACTTGGTATAATCGAAAAAGGTTCTAATTTTTAGCCGCCGAAATTAATCACCGATTTGAATCATAATCAAAATCTTTGAATTGAAATCGGTTACCAATATCGGCGGTAAGTCTATTGGATAAATTATTATCGGCAGATAGTTCATTGAAAGCAGCCGTAAATAAATAGGATTATTATTCTTTAGTTCTAGCTACTATATTACTATTATTATTTTACAATATTTACACCATGTATGTACATATACAGTACATATTGTATGATAACCAGGTACTATTCAACGGTAAAAAAATGAAACATGCAACTTGATGTCCATCTATTGTGATATATGATAAAATTTTGCTTAATCGACAATGATAAACTTTATTGTTGTGCCTCTCTATGACTTTTAATTTAATACAATTTCTGAAGGAATTGGTATATCTTTGGAACTTAATTTAACATTACACAAAATTACTGGTAACTTATTAGGTACACTAGAGTTCAACCACTATCATCGTCATCTGTTCAACCAATCCTGTTTTATTAGATCCGCACCCTTTTCACCGATCATTATAACAGCGGCGTTTGTATTACCACTTACTATAGTAGGCATTATACTAGCATCTATCACCCTCAGTCCCTCCACACCATGAACCCTCAACCTAGGATCTACCACAGCCTCAGGATCCCACGAAGGACCCATCTTCGCAGTCCCACTCTGATGGTATATCGTCATAGAAATAGTCCGCACTTGACACTCAATATACTCATCCGACATGAACTTATGCTGCTTACAGTTCGGTAAAGGTTTCATATACAACCTAGATCCAAACTGCTTGAATGGAGACGCATTAGCTACTTGTAAAGCGATCTTTATGCCTTCAACAAGTCGAGCGACGTCTAAAGCATCCTCATGATAACGAGGATTCATTATAGGATAGTGGAAAGGATTCGAAGATCTTAACCTCACATAGCCTCGTGTGTTTGGTCGGAGCAACAGAGGCATAATCGTCCAAGCATCTTTGTTTGCTATAGGCCTATATACAGTGTCATACACCTCGTCTGTTAATCCGAGGATTTTTCGCACTATCTGACCATTGTCCGAAGAAAACGAAGCTGGTGCCATGTGGAACTGAATGTCAGGCCACAAACCAGATGAGTTCGCGTATTTTGTGTTCACAAACGCAATCCCTTCTAATCCACCGAGTGTAGTCATTGGGCCTCTCTCGTTTACAACGTAGTTCATTGTAACAGGGAAAGCTTGGAATCTGTTCTGGACAATTGCAACAGGCTTGTCCACAAGGAACGTTAATCCTCCAACGCCCACGTGATCCTGCAGGTTTTCTCCAACTGGTAAATCTTTCAGCACTTTTATTCCAACTTCACGTAAATGGTCTTTAGGACCGATACCTGATAACATCAATAACTGTGGACTGTTGATGGCACCAGCTGATAGAATCACTTCTTTTCTTGCGTATACTGTACGTTTTACTCCATGCTTCACATACTCCACCCCGTAAGCCTTCATCGTTACGGGATTGATGAGTATCCTAGTAGCTTGTGAATTTAAAGAAATGTCTAGATTTTTCCTCGTTCGTACCGGTCGTAAGAAAGCTTTTGCGGTACTGCATCGAGAGCCTCGTCGTATCGTACCTTGTGCGATCATGAACCCTGTTTGTACAGCACCATTTATGTCTCTGTTGTCGTATCCTATTTCTACTCCAGATTCTACGAAAGCTGCGACTAGTGGAGTTCTCCATGGTGCTTCTTGAACTGTGAGATATCCTCCTCGACCGTGGTACTTGCTTTTTGCTAGGTAGGGGTTCCTGTTGTCTTCAGACTTGATGAAGTACTTGAGCACGTCCTGGTAGCCCCAGCCAGGGTTACCGAACGACTCCCACTGGTCGAAGTCGTATCTGTTGCCTCGGACGTAGATCATGTAGTTGAGCACGCTTGAACCGCCGAGTACCTGGAATGTTCAGGTGTATTTTTAGTGTACCGAGATTAGGATAATAATAATAACTCAACTTCTTATTTAATGAACGAATAGTAATAAGAAGTAGCAAGTAAACTTTTTGAATATGTAAACAAAAGACTTTGCTAAATACTTTAGATATAAGATTAGTAAAAGTTAGAACAGCATATTGCTCTCGTAACTTGAATAGGCGCTAGATGTGATTCAATTGTAGACAAAGCGTAAGATTTTGTAGCAACAACACGCTAAATAACGTTGAAAATAAGGTGAAATATAAGACATTTACTGGTTTACCTTTCCTCTCGGCCAGCTGCACTGTTTCTTCTTAAACCCTAGGCACGCGTAGGACGTGGGCTCTGTCTTGTACTGCCAGTCCAACTTCGTTAGCTGTAGGTAGCCCGCTAACGAGGGCACGTCCGTTATCTCGTTTTCGTCTGGACCTGGAATTATAATTGATAACCAGCTCAATATCCCAGCTTAATTATAAGTGTTATCTTAGATGACATTACAGGAAATATTATTTATTGTAGCCTTTACGTGAAAATGACGCCCTTAATCGAAGTACAAATCCTTCCATAGGGTGGTTTGAAAATGTTGTTATTTGTTGGGGCCTTGAATTATACATGTATTTGTGGCAGAAATTATTTTGTTATGCAGATATTCTATAAAATTATTTTACGAAAATACTCACCGCTCTCCAGTAAAAGTACATTCCAACTTTTGACTTCACTGAGGCGGCTCGCCACTACAGCTCCGGCCGAACCACCGCCGACCACGACAAAGTCATATTCCTTCAATGGCTCCTTATCTAATATCCTTGCTTCGGGGTCGTAAGAATTATAATTGTGGTACGTTAGAGCTCCAAGCAACAGTGGGATTAACCACAGGCTTGTGACGCTCACAGTTTTTAAGGCAGTAGACGCTAAAAGTACGTGCACGCCCATTTTTTCGTTTTGTATCTATCACAGTTCAAATTGTTTGCCTCTATCACAGCATTTGAACTTAACTTTGGTTTTTTGTTAGGACTAGTTTGTTTTGTTCGTTAGAATGTTTATTTGTGTCTGTCTGGCGGTTTGCTTCTGCGCATCGGGTGGGCGAGGGGTTGCGGTTGCAGGCGTGGCGGCCGCATCCTACGACGCATTACAGCGTCTCGTGCAAGCTCGGTCGGACTCTCGAATCTGAAATTAGAGAAAAACTAATTAAATGTCAATATTTCAAAGTTTTATAGTAAATGACACATGTTTTTTTAACTAACACTTTATTTTTTAATGTTTCAGGTACGTGACACTGTCATCATCCATATAATTTCTATCGTGAAGTAAATTCTGGAAGCCGTTACCGTAAGTAAATTTTACATTGAAGTCTTACTTAAATATTATTTAGTAGGCAGTGAATGCTACATTTACATAGCTCTGAAAATAGTAACTATGACGTAAGCTAAACTTTAATCCTAATGCCAAGGGAAAGCTCAAACAATTTGATCTCATAAAGCTACGTGTTACACGCCCATGAAATATAGCGTCGATAAAATAATAGGACAGAGATAACACTATACAAAATAGTTGGGGAAAGGAAAGAGATAGACAACGAGTGACTATTTCCTATTTGTGCGGAAGATTATGATCTAATTTCCAGACATTACTTGTTCCTGAGGCGATGTCGTGAAAGGCATCAGTGATAGAAATCAGAGACACAATATTTTACAATTCTTTTACAAAGAGATCAACATCAGCTCGTTAGCGAATGTAAGAAGATGTTAAGATTGTTATTAGACCCTTCATCGATATAATTCGTGATCTTAATGAGCGCTTAGGTGTTTGTTACATAATCCTATAATAGAGGTAAGTAGTGGTTGCTTCCGATGTTTATAAGCAGTCGTTAGCTTAGCTTCTAATACGTTCATCAACTTAGTTTTGTACATTGTCTAATGGTGTTGTCAATACATGTTATTTTTCTTTATTTAGTAAAAAATGCTGAGCTGAATTATAAAAATAGATTTAAGAATTCTTTGCACTCCATTTGTCCAGTGTAATTTTTTGGGAAGTTTATCAAACCGAACCATTGTTAAAGTTTAACAATTTCATAATTTTAACGACTTAATCCGCATTCGCAACTATCGTAAGTCTTTCTCTAGAATTAGCACTAGTTATTTTATCGTCAAGCCTATATTTAAATGTATCGTAATCATCCATTTCTTGCACATCTTGTTAGAATGGAATTTCAATTGATTGAGCAATAATCACAGGTTCAGATTCAGCTTCGATCGGTATTATAACATAATTAATGTCTGCCATTACATCAACTCCACCATCGTGAGAGTGAACCGCTCTAACATCATGCTTTAAATCGCAAGTCACTTCCTCCATCATTCTATTGATACCTGACATTCTATTACTATAATAATTTATATTATAGTCGGTCATTTTATAGGTCAGTTCTTCGGAAATGTTACCGACCATTATTGACATTTGACAACCTTCATAGGTGTTTGCTGTTGCTACGTGGTATTTGTATTGAATATGTGTTAACGATGACTTAACTGATTGTGTCTTACTTAACGTATTTGAGAGACCATTTGAAGAATATTAGTAATGATGTTTGCCAATGACTTGTGTCCAAGGCTTTGTAAATATTGCTGGATTTACTATGAATTCCGGACAATATTACTTAATGTTTCTTTGTCATCAATATGTATAAGACAGTCATTTGCATCAAGAATTTGAACACTTAGTGGAAATCCATTGAAATGCAATAATGGTAACGTTTTTGTTGTTAAAATAGTAAGTTTGTGTCATATCTGACCTTGATACTGACCTATGTAACTAACTTAACATGCATTACACCAAGTAGCTTTTAATAGTTCTCACACAAAACTGGAATACTCGAAATACTTGTTAGATAATGTTGATGGGTGTAGCAGTAAAAAGTCAATTAATAACTAAAAGTAATTATTGCGTCCTGTCACGCGACTACGACAGTCCACTTCACTAATTACTTATTGATTTTTGACGGATTTGTTCGAGGCCTTTGTTTATTATTAGACTGTTGGTGTTGGGCAGTAGAATACTAAATGTTTAAGTACTTAAAATGGTACCTGTATGATATTATTTGAAGCTTTTTTATGGGATAAGTCGGTAAACGAGCATGCTGATCACCTGATGGTAAACAATCGGCGCCGCCTATGGACACCCAAGATACTAGAGGCATTACAAGTGCGTTACCGGCCTTTTGGAGTTTAGAAATTTGAGGATTGTTGGAGATTCAGGGATTGATAGAAGATTGAGGAAGCGGGTAATTGGGCCTCCGGTAACCTTACCCCACGATGAAACACAACGCAAGCGTTGTTTCACGTCAGTATTCTGTTTGGCCGTGGTATCTCTCAGGTCGAGCCCACCCATTTGTGGCGTGGCTCTTCCACACTTGAAAAATGTTCGTTCAAACTTAGTATAAAATGACACAATCGATCTCCGTTACGTATTCTCTATTATATTCACATTAAGAGCTGTGGTATATCATACGTCCATTTAGAGTACTCTGTGAGAGAATAAATGTTTAATTTTTATTAGGTTTGTATTCGAATTTAATAGATTGGATAAACCATGACCTAAATGAGCCTAAAAGCAAGTCTAGTCAATCAGATCGTGCTGTGTTGTATATTTAAAATGTTATTATGATATTATAAATATTTAATTTAAAGAGAGGCTTCGAGTATATGTTAACAAGTTTGCAACCTACCTCGTTTCAATATTAAAAGTTTTTGATTTCCTTTTATCAATTTTTTTTCGTACAAAAGCTTAAAACTATCTTCTGGCCACAATAAATTCTCAATTGTTTTGTTCAGCGTCCAAACAATGTCGGCCATTAGGCCCGTTTTGACTACAAAGTTATTAGAGCGTACTTACGGAATTTTTTGCTCTTAAATCTTGTATTATATAATAATACTGTCTTTGTTTAATTGTTTATGTACTGGTATTATCTAAATCAAGATTGTGTGTACTGATTCTGTCCAAGTGTTTATTTCTTTTTGTATATTTTTCTGCGTTTTTTAGGATAAACATTTTAATTGATGCTGGATCTGGTCTATTTTCGAACTAGTGGTCAATTAAGTCTGGTTCTCCCCTGAAAGTAGGCAGCAACTAAATATAAGTACTTCAATTTAACTGCCTCCAAAAATGTTTTCAACCAAGATTTTTTTTTTGCATTTTCATTAAACATGTATCATGCTAAAATAGATCTAATTGTAAAGGTAATAGATAGAGAAATAAAGAATGCAGGCAACGCTTCAAAATAAAGAAGTTACGGTCTTTGTGCGGAGTTGCAATATAAATTTTAACAAAAAGGTCTTAAAGATAAATTGGTTCGTAATTGAGTGACAGGTTGCGAAAACTCAGAGAACTAGTGGTGTAGTTGTGTTCGATACCACAGAGTAGTCAGATAAGTCTATTATTATCAACAAGCCGGAAAATTAATCGAATATCGATTAAGATGTGACCCAAATATCTACAAAATATTATTAATTTTACTGAACAACTATTATAAATGTATGAAGTCGATAAAAATGTGTTGTCAATGAAGCAATTTATGACTTTTTTAGTTAAAATATTTTACGATATACGAGTGATTGACAAATAACGGACATTTAAATAAAAAATTAAATCTAACAGATTATATAATTAGAGTTGTCGACCCTAATTCACGTTAATTATACTGTCAAACAATAATAATGACGAATATAACGAATAATTGGTTCGAAAGCGAATCAGAGACCACAGATTATTAAACAAATTGATTGTCAAGTGGCCGTAACTGGGTCTTTTCTAATCTGTACGATCTATTTTATTTATTTATTTACTGTAGTGCAGCAATTAGTGAACGTCATGTGGGGCATTTCGCTCCTGGCAAGAGTTGTCATGTGATCATATTTGTGTTATGTGATATCTCTTTGTTGTATAATCTGTGGCATGTAAAGCCGCGCCCACAATACTGTAACGAGGCCAAATCTTTTTGATTGAGGTGGTTATTTGTAACCGATTATTAATAATATCTACTTATGATCTTATTCTAAAATTGATTGTCTGCAACTATACACAGGTGTGGTTAGTAAGAACTAGTATGAAGTAGTTCAAGCTGCTAATAACTCAATGGTTGTCACGGACTTTGTCATCAAAAATTTTAGATTCACATACATAACATCACGCCTTTTATATACCGGGTACAATTCCAGACTGCGTAATAGTACTGAGATTTTTTCTAAAAACCCGGTTATATTTTGCCCGACCTGTGAATCGAACCGGAGACGGCAGTCGCACTAGCAACCACTCAGCCAAAGAGACAGTCACTTTAAATTCAATTTAGAAAAATATCTTGTTGTCTTGTACGATTAGGTAGTGACATTTTTGTTTAATTACATATTTCAGTTTGAACTTGAAAACTTAGGTTGCTAAACAAAATAGGTACCGTCCAGCCATAGCTCATGCTAAGTACAAATACTGAAAATAATCCGTACCATTTATAAACCTCAAACAAGGGCTTTGTAAAGTATAAAATTTTGCAGTGAACAACTTTAGTTTCAAGTAGTAATATTGAACTTAAATAAAAATCGCGGGTTACTCACGTGAATATACTGAAAAAAGCTCTACTAGTTTCGAACCCCAGAGGGGTTCTTCCTTATAAGCAGTATATAGTTAATTTACTACCTATGTCTCACGATAGTTATATAGAAAAATATTGAACTTGACCGCGTTCAATAACGCTAACCGTTCGTTGCTAGTTGCAACATTGTACTGACATTTAACAAAAACATAATCTTGATTTTTTATTAAGGTGACGACACACGATAAGTTTTATGAGTTTTCGCAACTAAGGAATGCTGTAACACTTTGGTATTATGTCATTTTATTAAGTCGTATGATAAAAATAAAGAGACGGCTTACGGAAGACAGAAAATCAGACACAAATCAGAGAATTTAATGTGTTTTCTTTGATTTCTGGTATTAGTGAGTACAGCTTTATCTCTGTGTAAACTCTGTAAAAATATGAGTTACGTGGTTTTTTAAGGGGGGAAAATCATCAAATTACCGCTCCCGCCTGGGTGAGGCGGGAGGGAGTGTCAGACTCTTACTGACTAAAAACCACCCCGTTCCTTCTCCTGCACGTCGAGCCGGAGCCTCGGTTACCC